AAGACCGCCAGCATTAGACTATGCAAAGATGAAGAGTTTGGGTGGTAGGGACTTCATGGAAGATGTGAGTCCAGATGCTGTAGTAGAGTGGTTGAGAGAGATGGAAGATGTGTTTGAGTATCTTTATGCGACCCCAGAGGAAAAAGCACAATATGTTGTTTTTCTCATAAAGGGGTATGCGAGGAGCTGGTGGTCCTCAGTCTCTAGAGTTAATGGTGAACGAGTTCAGTTCACCTGGGAGGAGTTCCTGAAGGCCTTTAAGACATAGTTTCTTCCCGAAGCTTTTATCAGGGCAAAGAATAATGAATTCGCCAACCTTAAGCAGGAGAACATGACAGTTACTGAGTACACCATCAAGTTTGTTCGACTACTCTACTTTGAAGATGGGTTGGCGGATACTGAGCGCATAAGAAGAAGATGAGATACTTACATGGTCTGCGCCTAGGGTTGAAAGAAAAGATCCACAGGGTCGATGAGAAGAGCATGGCCACTATCAAGGAGGCAACACTTAAGTATGAAGCCTATGAAGTTGAGGGTAGAGAGGAACACAAGGACAAAGAAGAGGAGAAGTTGAGGAAGTTTGGAGTGAGTTATTCTGGACCTCGTTACCCATCCAAGATAGCTCCCAGCGGTTTTGGGAGAACACTGAGTCAATCTATGTCAGGAACATCATACAAGGCACCAGTTTCCTCAGCCACACCGGCTCCAGTTTGTCAGAAGAGACACTTTGGAGAGTGTTGGAGGTTTTCAGGAGTATGCTTTCAATGCGGGCAGCCGGGTCACATCATGAGGAAATGTCTTTATAGGGGAGGAGGAAGACCTACTCAGTCCGAACCTTCAGTGCACATTAGTAGAGCCCCAACCAGAGGTGGTTACCAGGGAGGCCATAGTGGATTTCAGAGTGGCCGTGGTGGTTCACATGGTGGTAGAGGTGGTGGTCAAAATCAGCCATAAGGAAGGGGTACACAGGGAACACCAAGAATTTATGCAATGTCTCAAGGTGAGGTGGAAGTGGCACCAGAACTGGTGACTGGTATGCTTTCTATCCTTGGCAAGCAAATTTATGCTTTGATCGATACTGGTTCCTCTCACTCATTCATGTCATATACATTTGCACATATGCTACACTTAGTCCCAGACAAGTTAGGTTATACCTTATGTCTTAAAACACCTGTGGGAGATACCTTAAGGTAGACTCAGTTATTAGAAGTTCCTTCATTTGTGTAAAAGGAGCTTTCCTAGCAGCAAATTTAATTCTGCTACCTTTTGATAGGTTTGATGTCATCCAGGGAATGGACTTTCTGGCAACACATTGAGCTGTTGTGCTTTGTCAAAAGAAAGAAGTGTTATTCAACACACCAAATAAAGGTCATGTTTTATTCCGAGGCATTAAGAAAAAGGAGAATCATGGTTTTCTTTCTGCCTTGGAAGCTTTTCGATTAGTGAAGGAAGGTTGTGAAGCCTTTCTTGCTCAAGTTACTATTGTAAATGAGAAGAAGGTTGAGGATGTAGAGGTGGTAAGGGAGTTTCCTGATGTATTCCCCGAAGAACTTCCCCGCCTTCCACTAGAAAGGGAAGTAGAGTTTGATATTGAATTGGTACCTGGCACAACACCAATTTCAATGGCACCATATAGAATGACATCAATTGAGCTGAAGGAGCTTAAAGAACAATTGCAAGAATTGCTAGAAAATGGGTTTATTCGACCTAGCATCTCACCATGGGGTGCACCGGTTTTGTTTGTCAAGAAGAAAGATGGCTCCATGAGAATGTGCATTGACTACCGGAGGTTGAATAAAGTAACAGTGAAAAATCGTTATCCCCTCCCAACAATAGATGACTTGTTTGATCAATTGCAGGGTGCATCAGTCTTTTCTAAGATTGATTTGAGGTCTGGATACCATTAATTGAAAGTGGCAGAGGGAGAAACCTCAAAGACAGCTTTTAGAACAAGATATGGGCATTATGAGTTCCTGGTAATGCCTTTTGGACTCACTAATGCGCCAGCAGTATTTATGGCTCTTATGAACGGAGTTTTTCATGAATATCTTGATAAGTTTGTGATTGTGTTCATAGATGATATTCTCATCTATTCTAAAAATGAAGAAGAGCACAAAACTCACCTTAGAATTGTGTTGCAAATTATAAGACAGAAACAATTATATGCAAAATTCTCAAAATGTGAGTTTTGGCTGAAGGAGGTAATATTTTTGGGACATATAATTTCTGGAAGAGGAGTGGAGGTGGATCCAAAAAAAGTGGAAGCAGTGGTGAGTTGGGCTCCACCAAAAGATGTGTCGGAGTTGAGAAGTTTTCTTCGCATGGCGGGTTACTATCGGCGTTTCGTAGAAGGGTTTCCTAAAATTGCTGCACCATTGACTAAACTGTTGAGGAAGAATACCAAGTATGTTTGGGATGAATCATGCCAAAATAGTTCTGATGAACTGAAGAAGAAATTGACCACAACACCAGTGCTGGCTTTACCTTCTAACCATGGAGAGGCTGTGGTGTATAGTGATGCCTCGTATCAAGGATTGGGTTGTGTGTTAATGCAAGATGGAAGAGTTATCACATATGCCTCTAGGCAATTGCATCCTCATGATGTAAATTATCCCACTCGTGACTTAGAATTGGCAGCGGTGGTATTTGCTCTCAAGATTTGACGAAATTATTTGTATGGTGAGACTTTTAAAATCCTAACTGATCACAAAAGCCTAAAGTATATTATGGATCAGAAGGATTTAAATAGTCGCCAGACGAGATGAATTGAACTTCTAAAAGATTATGATTGTACAATTGATTACCATTCAGGTAAAGCGAATGTAGTCATTGATGCCCTAAGCAGAAAGGGGAAGAAGAATATAAATGGTCTGGTTGATTTGAGGGCAATGAATGTTGATTTGGAAGTGGATGGTGTAACAGGGTTACTAGCTTGGTTGAACATTCGACCTTTGTTGCATGACAAAATTCGTGAGAAGCAGAAGGAGGACCCAGAGATGGCAAAAATCATACAAGAAATTGAGGAAGGAAAAAAAAGCCCATTTGAAATGGTAGATGGCATGTTGAAGACGAATGGAAGAGCATGTGTTCCTAATGTTGATAACTTGAGGACACAGATCCTAGATGAAGCTCATTCTTCTGTTTATGCTATGAACCCAGGAGCAACTAAAATGTATCACACGATCAAACCATATTTTTGGTGGCGTGGGATGAAAAAGGAAGCGGTTGAACATGTTTTCACATGTCTAGTATGTCAGAAAGTTAAGGCAGAACATCAAGCTCCTGTGGGAAAACTGCAACCACTTCCAATTCCAGAATGGAAGTGGGAAAGAATCACAATGGATTTTTGTATATGGTCTCCCATCGTCAAGGGGAAAAGATGCAGTATGGTTTATTGTGAACCGACTGACCAAATCGGCTCACTTTTTACCCATTAGGTGGAAACCATCACTGGAGACTTTGTCTGAACTATATGTTAAGGAGATCGTCAGATTGCATGGTGTGCCAATTTCTATTGTTTTTTTATCGAGACCCGAGCTTTACATCTCAGTTTTGGCAAAGTTTACATGATGCTTTGGGAACTAAATTGCATTTTACTTCAGCTTATCATCCTCATACAGATGGGAAGAGTGAACGAACCATTCTTACCTTGGAAGAGTTACTTCGATCATGTGTAATGCAATGGGAGGAATCATGGATTGACCATTTGCCTCCGATTGAGTTTGCTTACAATAATCAGTATCATAATAGTTTGAGTGTTCCACCCTATGAGGCACTTTATGGGAGAAAATGTAGAACACCATTATGTTGGGATGTAGAAGGAGCAAGTCAAATCTCAGGGCCAGAGGTAGTTCAGATCACAGTTGACAAGGTTAAGGAAATCAGCGAGCATTTGAGGGTGGCTCAAGATCGACAGAAAGTTTTTTTTTAACACGAATAGGCGTGAAGTTAATTTTGAAGTGGGTGAGAAAGTATTTCTCAAAGTGTCACCCCGGAAAGGCGTAATGAGATTTGGTAAGAAAGGAAAACTTGCACCTCGGTATATTGGACCTTATGAAATCACATAGAAGATTGGACCAGTGGCATATAAACTAGCATTGCCTCCAGAGCTATCCCAAATCCACAATGTATTTCATGTTAGTATGCTGAAGAGGTACAAAGTGGATCCTTCCCATGTTATACAACCAGAAGAGATCGAGTTGGGTCCAGATTTAACTTTTGAGGAGGTTCTAGTTGAGATTGTTGATTTTCAGATTAAGACTCTTCGTAGGAAGGAAATTCCAATGTTGAAGGTTGTGTGGAGGAATCAAGAAAGCGAAGGTGCTACCTGGGAGACTGAAGCAAGTATGCAAGAGAAGTACCCTGAGTTGGTAGCGACCTACTTTAAAAGTTAACAATCTTGTCTAATAAATTATGCTTTCGAACTTTGTTGATGTACTTATGTTGTGATAACCCATATAGGTTTTTGAAACCTTATATTGGGAACTTGAGGTGTTATGTGGTTATTTATGTACTTCAGATCTCCTATCCTAAGAATTAGGTAGTAACAAGATATGTGATAGTATATGTTAGGAGGGGAACGAATAGATGCACAGTACTAACTCGAGGTTAGATTTCGAGGACAAAATATTTTAAGGAGGGGAGAATTGTAACATCCCGTTCCGACAAAACCCATATCTTGATCGCTAGAAATTCGCGATTTAAAATCGAGTGTTTTGATAGTATTTCGGCGTAAATCGGATTATCAATCGATCGGATAAGTATACGTATTTATTATATATATACAAGAGGTCACACAAACCACTTATATAAAATTTTTTCCCCATCCATTTATTCCCATCATCCTCTTTTATTTTCCATTACCGAGAGCGAGCAGAGCGCGGAGCAGTTCAGGGGACGCGGGGGAGAAAAATTCCAAAGCTCAAATTGAGTTCCAGTACTCCAAAAAATCCCTTAAGTAACGCCTAATCCATATATACGTCATAGTTTATCGATTTAGAGCTTTAAAACGAGTTTTTGGATTAGGAATTTCTTGAATTCCCGATAAGCGAAATTAGGGTTTCGGAGTATCTAGAAGCCGGATTGAGCCCAGATGTCATATATGAGCTTCCTATAGCGAGGTAATTAATCCTCTGGTTCTAATCCCTGAATTTTGGCAATTATTTAGGTCGGGGTCCAAATCGCTGAATTTAGCTCCGGTCGGGGTTTGATGTGTTTTTATCGAGAATTTGATCCGGAGCCTAGAACTAACATTGACGGGACACTGCAGGGGATATTAGGAAAATCTCGGATTTTGATTCCGGGTTTGTTTGAGAAAAGTGAAGTTGTGGTACGGGAGGCTAAAACCGGTGTTTGAACGACCAAAACTGGTGAGGGATTAGCACGGCATACCGGGTTTGTCGTATCACGATAATTATATAGATGTTTAGAATTGACCTAGGTGAACTAGAATGGCATGATTAGGGGTGTATGAACTTTTTTGATATATGTTGAACCCTGCACTGCTGTATGATATTACTGACTTGCCCTAATCGATATGGACCTTGTTTATGCGGATGATTGCATACATGTTGCCATTTGTGGCTTAATTGTTGATATGACATCATGGTTGTTCGATCAGGTGTTTTTACATGATGTGATATTGTGGTTGTATTTGGATTCACGAGTGGAGGAAATAAACTTCCCAGTTTTATATTATGATGTTTTAAGGAGGATGGCTTGCACGAGGGTTTATCCCGAGGAAGTGCACCTATACGACTCCTGGTTTACCTATGTTGAGCCAATTATGGTCAGGTCAAGTACATGTGCAAGTAACGAATTATGATTAAGCAAGATGAGATATGGATCACGGATAAGGATACCAAGTAAGAGTACTTTAATTTGGTCTCATGGTCAATTACATAGTAATTAGGGCTCCCCATGATATCACTTCGTTATGATATGTTAGGTTACACCCCTGAAGTGGTGTTGACTGTTGATTCATTATGAGATATGACCACACCCAAAGTGGTGTCATATGTCCGATATGACTACACCGACAGTGGTGGGTCCGATATGACTACACCGACAGTGGTGGTTCCGATATGAGCACATCCACGAGATGTTTGGTCCATATTCCTGGGAGAGTAATTAGCATGGGTGTAGCCAGACGCCTATAAGTAAAACATGATAAGACACATATGCATAAGTCAAGGTGGTTGAGTCTTTTGCCCATTGGGATATGAGGATGGCTGAGGTCCTATCCTAGTGTTTTGTCTTGATTTCTAGATGTATGGTAGGGGTATGCTTTGTTATGAACTCACGATGCAATGATTGTCTCACTCAGCCATGAGCTGACCCTCTTTATCCTTTTTCTCTGCTTATGCCATGTGTAAGCAGATCATCATCATCATCAGTAGATAGGAATATAGGTGGGAGCTGACCAAGAGTTGAAGGCAAGATGAGGTATGGTCTTCAACTATTATGTAAGTTGTGACGATTATGGCATGTATCCGTATGCTATGCAGTTGTGTAGCATGAAACTTTGACCATGGCTATGAAAAGGCAATGCATATGGTTGTGAGTATATATGTTTGTCTATGAATGCATGGATTCAGATGAATTATTTTTCTGGATTAGATGGAAGAATTGTTAGCCCATTAAGCGAGTAATTCATGTCAAAATTTTGTTTGGGTAAATTTTGGTAATTAATGTAACACCAGTTTTAAATTCCGCTGCAATTGTATGAACAATATGATTAAACAAAACGTACAGGGTAGGGTGTTACAGCCCTTGTGAGCAATTTCATGAGAGAGAGATCCCAAAACCATCCAAAATGACCCTGTTCTTGTTCGATAAATTTAATTGGATTCAACTTGATTCATTGTTGCATACTTCTAATCAAAGAGACCCTCCTAGGGACTCACCAAGTGGTTTCAGACGCCCGTTTCAAGCACAGTGGTGAGGAAGACGACTTCGACAAAGGACAACATTGTCGGAGCTACGTGTTGGAAAAGGTCGAAAGGCCCTGTTTTGGTGACCCTACAATTTTGCTCTCGACATAGAAGAATTCGACCAAATCAAGGACTCCAATGGGGCATCCTAACGGGGAGGATTCCATGGCACTAATTTAAGCTACGTTGGTCAAGATGAACGCCTCCTTTCAGCTGCAATAGGATCATATCACTCGACGCTTGGACGAGATGAAACCACCATACAAGGAAGCAGAGACATAGCAGTCGCATCTCAGATGATTCTAGCTGGGAATCCACACCAAATCGTCCCAAACGAAGTCAATTGTGCCTTAGATGAGAGGCTCCATAACATCGAGCAACATCTAGTCATCACTGAAGGAGATCCAAGCCCTCGATATCGAGGCAATTAGGAATTTGGAAGGAGAAACCTAGGAGCAGAGTCTGACGGGTCTATTGCCGACTTGCAAGGAATTAAATTGACAATTCCTGTGTTTCAGGTCTCCAATAGCGGTACGACTTATTTGGATTGGGAACGGAAGATTCTCCTTTTCTTCTAGTGTGGGAACTATATTGAGCAGTAGAAGGTTTTACTTGTAGTCTACGAATTTACAGATTACGCAGCAACATGGTGGGAGCAAACATAGGTAAACCACAAGGTGGGAGCAAAAATAGGTAAACCACATGCGAAGATGAAGGAATTTTCATCCTTTAGTTACCACATGGGAGGAGCTGAGGGCTTTGATGCGTGAAAGGTTTATCCCTGGATATTACCAAAGGGAGCTCTTAGATTCCCTTCAATCAATCCAACAGGGAAGTAAGACTATCGACGAGTATTTTGAAAATCTCGAGATGCTTCTAATTCGAGCAGATGTCAGAGAAGATCGAGAGTCCACCATCGCAAGGTTCCTCCATGGACTTAATCAAGAAATCGGAAAGGAGCTAGTGCTCAGACAATTTGTCGAGCTCAAAGAAGCTGTGCATCTGGCAATCAAGATCAGGAAATAAGCCGAGGCTAGAAGGTTTTCCAACCGAAGTGTAGTAGAGAACTCTCTTGAGCCAAATTCAGTACAAATTCGACAAGAAAACCCCAAGAACGTGCCCAAGCAGATGCCTCCTATGTACCATCGCAAGGCCGAGACATCAACCAGTTTCATCCAATGCTTCAAGTGTCATGGTCGAGGACACAAGGCGAACCAATGCTATCTCTAGTCATAGATGGGGAAAGCTGTATGAACGTAGTGAGCTTTGATGTTGTTAAGAAACTCGGCTTGAGAACTAGCAAACACCCTGAGCCTTACACATTGCATTGGTTTAACTATTACAGTGAAATTAAGGTCAACAAGCAGGCTAAAATCAAGTTTGCAATCGGACGATATGAAGATGAGATTCAGCTTGATGTAGCTTTGATGCAAACATCTCACTTGTTGCTTGGATGACCCTGGTAATTTGATCGAGGGGTTTGCCATGACGGAGGAACAAATTGCTACAAATTTCGGCATAGAAACCAGAAGTTTTTGTTTAAGCCAATGTCTCCGGCCGAAGTCCGAGCTGATCAAAACCATCAGGAAGCGAGTCGACGACGAAAAAATGGAGAATCCAGTAAGACCCTCTCAGAGGAGCGGTAGGAAGCTAGCCTTGTAGCCCGATGCTTCATGTTGACAACATACAAAAGGAAGAAGATTCATCCTCAACAACAACTCTGCAACTCATCATCGGAGCAGAGTAGGAGAGAGAGTGATCTCGTCAGAGGTTTGGGCGAAGAGTCGAACCCACCATCTAACCCCGACACGATCCATTACATATCGAGAAGCTCATCCACAGGCCTGATGGAATCAACTACGCCTAATTTTCTTGATTTGGATCGAGCTAAAGTACCCCTGGAAACGAGCAGAGATGACAAAAAGTTGAGCTAAACGATGGGAGCATCTCGGAATGAATCGAAGCAAGCCGACAGTGCAGAATCATTGGGAAGGGATGTCCAAAGTTGTAGGAAGCTCCAATTGCAGGCCGAGATTCCTGAAATACCAACGCCCAATTCGGGCTTGAGTTTCCTGTGTTCTGCAACATTGAACATCGACGGTGGCGGGAAACGGGGGAAAAATGATTCGCCAACAAAGAGGGTGTGAATCGAGTCAGGGAACCAAATTCAGAATGATGATTGGAGGTATGGCGAAGATGATGGTGACCCTGAATTGAACTTGGAATACTGGAATCAGAAATCCCCAAAGGTATTGACGACGAGCTATGCTCCAATTTTTACAGAAAATCGAATTTAGGATCGATTTTGTGAAAATTTTGAGATGAGGAAGGCCAAAGCTTTTAGGGAAAAGCTTTTTTATGAGGGGTGGCCTAATACAATCCCAGATTGCCTCCTTGTTCATTCATAATGGATCAATCAAGAAGCCATCACAAGTTGTGAAAAGGAACTTAAAATTTGTCTAAGTGTTTTTACAGTTTCAGGTAGCCTACTTTGCAAGCTTGGTCGTCACAAATGGCTTGATGGAAATGGGAGATTAAATGCTTGTTTTGAAGATGAAATGCTTCTCTACACATTGGCAAGCTTGGATGCCCAAGGGGAAGTCATGAAGACCATTTTTCGAGCTATGCTAAAACTGGAAACTTGCCAAAATTTCACCAATTCTGGAAGATAGTTTAGATACCCAACTTTGGAGGCCTATTCAAGAAAATTGGTGGCGAATCAAGCCCGGAGAATGGTTCCCCATGAGAGCATGATTTTTCTATTACAACCTAGAGGCATTGGATGAAGGAAGACGTACCGCGAAGACTTCAAACGAAGGAGAGCAAGATCGTCTGGAGCTTGGTCAAAAACTATCTTGCAAGGAATCCAAAATCCTTCTTGGATTAGGAATTCCCTTTACCTTTTTCTGTTTGCATTTGATTTCCCAATTTTTTTGTGTTTGGGACATCCGTATTAGTTTGGTAGCTAGCCTAGGTCTATTTAAATTTATCCAATTGCGTTGTAACTCAGTTTTAAGTTCAATCGAATAATAACAACAAGTTTGATTCACAAGCTCTGCTTCGTGAGTGTGTGAGTTGCTTAGAACGAGCTCTAGGTAGCTTGTTGTTGTATCGATCAAGCTATTCACTCTTGATCATGGCCAGCCTCTAACCTATTCTTTTCAAGCCTTGCCCTTGTGAGCAATTGCACGAAAGAGCCATCTCAAAACTATCCAAAACGACCATGTTCTTGTTCGATAAATTGAATTGGATTCAATTTGATTCATTCTTGCGTACTTCTGATCAAAGAGACCCACCTAGGGACTCATCACACAAGAGCATCAAGGGGACGAGGAACCACATCCCACGTGTGATTAGCCTCCAGTGCATGAATTTTCGTCTTCATAGCATTATCCAAATTAGGATTTCCAAGAGCTTGTTTGTATGTTGCAGGAATAGGTATGTAAACGTTCGAGAAAGCCACAAAGTCAGAAATGTGAGCTGAAGGGTGGCCCTTCGTAGAGCGCAAGGATCGGCATAAAGGTGGAATCTCATTCTAGACAAAAAGATGGCAATCGAGGTCTGTCTCCTCGTGATTATCATGTGGGATGAAGGGAGTAGAAGATGCACCAGAGAATGACTCGTGCATGGGACCCGAGGCAGAAGAAGACGGACTAGACACTTCCTTCAAGGCCATTTTGTTTACGCTCAAAGAACATGGCGATGTTTGAGAAATTTCTTCGGGATATTTAAGAATCAGATGACCGAAACAGAAGAGCATGACTAAGCTCAAGAAATGGCGACAAGGCCATTTTGTTGAGACACGCCCGGACAAGACTGTTGAGGTAAAGTCCCATATGCCTTGAACACATCCAGCAAGGGACCAAAAGTAAACTCGCTACCTGGTTCGGATCGAAGAATCTTAACTACACAACCAAACTGAGTCTTGACCATAACCAAAAATTCCTTCACCACAACAAGCAAATCGGGACTTACAGCGAAGAAAATAAACCCAAGCATACATGGAAGCATGATCAGAACAAAATACCGAAACCCAACCCAAGAGGTCACTGGAGACGGACCCCATAAATTAGTGTGAACCAAGTCGAACGGATTAGAGTGAACAGTTGAGCTCGAACTAAAGGACCGTTGAGCCAGTTTGGTCCATGATTCATTATTTCCAAAAATTAAATTCAAAGATAAAGGAAAAACACAATAGAGCAAAAGTAAAAGCAAAGAAGAAGAAAAAAAAAGAAGTAATTATAAGGGAAATAACATCTATATGCCACCTTGTATAGTGTTGAAAACATCTTTCATAAACTCTCTCGGTTTACAAAATGCTTGCATTGGCTCAAGTTTAGGCATGGTGAGTCCTGGTCCTTCTTTCATGTCTAGTAGTGCCACACTGATTCTTTCCCACTCGAAGCATTGTATTAACGCCCCTAGCGTCACACTTACCACACGATTCGCAAGGCCAGAACCAGGGCATGACCTTCGTCCCACACCAAATGGTAGCAATTTATAACTATCCAACTCTGCTTCTAAATGTCTCTCGGGCCAGAATCTTGTTGGATCTTCCCAAATTGTGGGATCCCTATGTATAGTCCATGCATTGACAAATAACATCGTTTCCTTTGCTATGGAATAGCCTCCAATGGTACATTCCTCCGATGATTGGTGTGGAATCAGAAGTGGCCCTACCGGATAGAGACGTAATGCTTCGCTAATGATGCCTTGGAGGTATGGAAGGTTAGTATAATCATCTTCATGTACTAGCCGACTGTTGCCGATTATATTGTCAATCTCTGCCCGTGCCTTATCAAGTATCTCTGGATGATTAAGTAAGAGTGACATGGCCCATTCCACTGTCGCCGTTGAAGTGTCTGTGCCTGCAAGTATCAATGACTACAAACACAAAAGATTACAAATATGTAATTGATGCTTACGACTTACGTACTTTCAACTTTTCCATATCCAAAACACATACTAAACATTCAAGGAGTTGTTTGGTTTCCGTGATAGTTAAATCGATATATGTATTATAATATGTATGGTATGAAAAAAATTTCAAATTTAATGATTCTTTATATCACATGAAGTAAAAAAAATGAATATTCTATTAATCAATAAAGGATTATAAACAATATAAGCTCCATAATAACCTCACAAAAAATCAAATGAATTGTTAATTAGAAAGAAGTCTCACGAATGTGTTAATACAGGTAAAAATAGCTAACACTCCTAAAATTTGGATAAAATAATTTTGACCTCCGGTAGTAGTTTGACTTTAGCGTAGGGATAAAACAAAACCTCTAAAATTTGGAGAAAACTTATTGACAATACTCTAATAGTAATTTGAGTTTGCATTACTAAAAAGAATTAGTAATTTGGGGTTGAAAGGAAGAAAATAGGATAGTATTTGTGGTTTGGATAGAGTATAGTATCCGTCGATTACAAATTGGTTCAAAACATAAATGCAAACAAACTCCAATAAATCCAATTTCTCCAATTTTTATCCAAACTCCAAAATTTAAATTCCCAACCCCACCCTTATGATATTGATGAGGCTTGCATTACTATCATGTTGAATTGTTTTACTCGGTTCTTGATATGCAAATGTAAGAGTAACTATCGCTTTGATGAGTTAAATACTAGATTTTGACTTGTATGATTTATTTTAGCGCGAAGAATGTTTTTTTTTACAAGGAGAAGCTTATAAGTCTTGCGATTTTATCTTAATCATTGTGGTAACCTTTTTTACTGATTTATTTTTATGAAATTTCAAAAATTAGTATCATTATGTTAAAAATAATGAGTTAGTACTTGAATTAAAATAAGTTGAAGAATTACTTATTAGAGTATTTACTTCTTAAAGTTCTATTGGTTTTACCATTTCATCATCAGAGTAAATATATCATATTCATCATCAGAGTATTTACTTCTTATAGTTCTATTGTTTTTACCCTTTGCAAATGCAAGTATTGAAAGATATCTTTCAGCTTTAAACTACATCAAGAAAAAATTTTAAGATTGAATAGTTAGTCTGCTCGTAAATTATGGTATAGTATGATATATTAAAAAATTGTCCAGCACGGTAGAATATGGAGTGTATTTTACAAAAACAAATCATAATATGAAAAATGTCATGATATTTTATTGTAATTTATACTAGTTGAATATTATTTAATTTAAAAATTTATATTTATATTTTTAAATTATTATTTTAATTTAATTTCAAAAGAGGACACTCTTAATAAAAAATTTAGGTCCTTTACTTGCATCAAACAACTCACTAACAATGTTGCGTTCCAACTTGTCCCACTGATAAAAGGAAATATTTAATTTCCATCCGTCCACAAAGTTGAAAAAAGAAATGGGAACGGACAAAGAAGGTTTGTTTTTATAGCTTTCTTATGTTTGGCAAGGCACCATCACCATACCACTTGTCCACCCCCTTGATTATTGAATAAATTACTCCATTATTATCGAGATTTTAACGGTTCACCAACCCACTGCATCCCTCGATTATTATTATTATATTCATCGCGTTATTATATTGATGGGATGCTGATCCAGCCATATACGACAATAATAGCAAAATTCATATTATATATGAGAAATAAAATGATTTATTTACTTACCATGACTTGTCCTTTGATGATATCATCAGAGTAGGTCTCAGGTTCGGATTCCTGCAACGACAACATAGTATCGATCATCGTCTTCCTCATCGTCGTCGACACGACATCATCATCCTCCCTTCGTTCCCGTCGATGCTCGTCTATCAAACCTTGAAAGAAAGCATCCATCTCCCCATGCGCTCTCCACATCCTCTTCTCCAGTCCACTAAAATCGACCCACTTCAACACGGGCAGGAAATCAACAGGATTCGACGTGCCAATCAGCTCAAACACCTCCCTTATCAACTCCTTAAACCTCTCCCCTTCCTCACGGCCCTCTTTCTTCCCTTCCGCGCCGCCGAAGTACCTCTTCCCGGCGACCATCCTCATCACAATGTTCATCGACAGGCCCACCAGCCTCGACTTCATCTCCACCTTCCGGCCGAACCGGCCCGACCATCCAACCTCATCGGCCAGCCCGCTGACCAGCCGGTTCACCTCGTCCTGGCGGACGTGGAGGGTGGAGTTGAGGCGGGTAGTGGAGAGGAGCTCGACGGTGGATAGGCGGCGGAGGTTGCGCCAGTGCGGGCCGTACGGCGCCGATCCTATGGCGGTGTAGTTGTAGCCGAGGATCTTCCACCCGAGGAAACTGTGCGGCCGGTTGGCGAAGACGAGGTCGTTTTTGTTGAGGCACTCCTCGACTAGAGACGGGGAGGAGACGACGAGCACGTTGCGGACGCCCAACGTGAGGGAGAATATGGGGCCGTACTTGGTTGAAAGGGTTTGTAGGGTTCTGTGGAGTGGCTGTTTGAGGAGGTGGAGATGGCCGATGAATGGGAGGGACGGCGGGCTCGGCGGGAGGTTGAGGCGGCCACGTTGCTTTGATTTCCAGGAAAATATGATGAATATTATTGTGAGGATGAGGGTGGAGAAGGCGATGGTGGTGGGTTGGAGTAGGTGGTAGAGAGCCATAGTAAATAACGTTATTAACTAAGCTTGGAAGGTTGAGTTATATGATGCTTAGGATATATATATATGTGACGGGAGTACTTTTTCAAATTGAATCAACGGAAGCCGGCTAAAATGATGATTTCTGACCTATTCTGTGTTAAACAAATGATGCCGTGAGTTGATTATTAGGACGTATACGAATGATTTGTATTTAAATTGTAGTGAGCACAATTACTATGGTTGGAAGCATTATATTAACGCTTCTAGTGAATCCAATCACTATGGTTGGAAGCATTGAGTTCTGTAGATAGAAGTTGACTTTGGAGTACAAGTTCTGTTTGTAGTATAATAATTTTGTAAAAAATGTATATATACCAGTTGAATTTACACCATAATATTAAAAGTACAAGTTCAGTTTGTATTATTAAAAAATATTTGTAAGAAAAATTATAGTTTACAAGTTGAATTCGTACCATAACGTTAAAGGTACAAATT